TAGTAGTAGTAGTAGTAGTAGTAATACTAGTAGTAGTAGTAGTAGTAGTAGTAGTAGTAGTAGTAGTAGTAGTAGTAGTAGTAGTAGTAGTAGTAGTAGTAGTAGTGGTAGTGGTAGTGGTAGTGGTAGTAGTAGTAGTCGTAATATGAACAACCGTGAAAATACAAGTAATAGTACGTGCAGGCGTAACTTTAGATATGAAGGCGAGATTCAAGTACAAGTGTACGCAACTGTAACATTTAAGTAAAAGTATCAGTACCCGCATAAGTACACTTGTAAGTAAAGTACAATCAAGCGTACAAGGACAATTAAGCGTAAGAGTAAACGTGCGAGTGTCACTACAAGTATTATTGCAAATAGGAGTAAAATAAACATACACGGGCACATAGAAGTACAGCACACGCGTCAACACATGTACTAGTGGCCGTACAAGTATCAGTAAACATAACCGAAACAGTAAACTTATCAGTAACAATATCATGACAAGTACAAGGAACAGTTCCAGTAGTGAAAGGAGTACAATTAGCACCAGAAGTAGGAGGAACAGTACCAGGAAGCAGTAGCAGTAGTAGTAACAGTGAACGCAGTTTTAGAAGTCGTGGGAGGAGGAGGAGGAGGAGGACGAGGACGAGGAGGAGGAGGAGGAGGGAGAGGAGGAGGAGAAGGAGAAGGAGGAGGAGGAGGACGAGGAGGATTAGGAAGAGCAGGAACAGGGTGGACGGAGCATGGCGCAGAGAGAGAGAGAGAGAGAGAGAGAGAGCGAGAGAGAGAGAGAGAGGATGACGACGAAGGAAGTGCGTTCGAGCGCTGGGCTTGTTCTCCCGAGGTTGTCCTCTTCTTGGTCGTCGTTCTCCTTGTCGTCGTCGTCGTCGTCCTTGTCGTCCTGTCGTCGCTGTTACCGCCCTCGTCGTCGTCCTCTGTGTCGTCGCTGTCGCCGTTGCCGTCGCCCTCGTCGCCGTCGCCGTTGCCGTCGTCGTTATCGTCGTCGTCGTCTTCGTCGTCGTCGTTATCGTTGTCGTCGTCGTCGATGTCGTCGTCGTCGTCGTCGTCGTCGTCGTCGTCGTCGTCGTCGTCGTCGTCGTCGTTACCGTCCCCGCCGCCGCCGCCGCCTGCCGCCCACCGCCGCCGCCGCCGCCGCCGCCGCCTTCGTCGTCGTCGTCGTCGTCGACGTCGTCGTCGTCGCCGTCGTCGTCGTCGTCGTCGTCGTCGTCGTCGTCATCGTCGTCGTCGTCGTCGTCGTCGTTGTTAGCGTCGTCGTCATCGTCCTCCTGCCTGGCTGTTGTTCCCCCTGGCCAGTGCGGAGGGCAGGACTTGAGCAACAGCCTGGCGTACAACGTGCTTGAGGATCTCCAGAAGGGCGGCTCCATCAGCAAGGCGGGGCCTCCAGCCTTGCCCCCCTGGTGGTCCTCGAGAGGCAAAGCAGGCCGTGGGTTTAAAAGACTTGGTCATACGCGCGAGCCGTGGGGTTGAATTGCCTGCGCCACATCGATGGTACCACATAGCTTGCAGCACAAAGGTTGCGCCGCGTAGGGTGCACCACAGAGATTGCACCACAGATATCACGCATCCATGGTGCAATAACGCATTTCTTTGGGGTCCACACTGAGAAACATGTTTCGACCGCTCCCTCTTCGTGTGAAGGCCTTCAGAAAGGGCTGGCACATGAGCTAAAACCTTCAGCTTTCCATTCGACCGTCCTGCGCAGGCGGGGGCGTCGACATCACGATCAGTTCGGGTTCGGAACGGGCTCGGTGCTCCTCTGGACTGTCTCCTGGGGGCCCCAGAACGGCGTTTCGGGCTTCGTGTCGGGGCGACAAGGGCTTTTTTCCTTTCGGGTGATAATGCGATGGCGCACTTGTCTTCGGTGCTACGCGAGGAGCTAAACAAGCAAGGGCGGCTGCTCAGTGCTTTGGGCACGCTCGTCGGCGGTTGCGAACTGGCGGATCGCGTGGTGACAGCAGTGCTCGACCTTGGTGATCTCTTCTGGGGCGCGCCCCCCGCCCCCGAGGTGCTCCAAGCCGCCTTCCACGCGACCGAGCAGGGGGAACCTGTGGCAGGCATTGGACCCAGCGCGTTGCGGCAGCACCAGCGTGGGCCACGCCGGAGGTCGCGCCACTGGCAAGCGGGCGCGGCTGACAGGCGGATCGTGGAAGGGCAGCACTGGGCGCCGCCGGCGCCCTTCGCCTTCCACGCGGGCGCAGTGGAGCTCATGCCCACCTGGCTGGCCCCAGGCCTTTGGCGGCCCTGCGCTGCTGGCGACGGCGACGATGGCTGCGCGGGGCCGTCTGCAGCTACGGCTTGGGCTGCGTTGGCGAAGCCTGGAGCCTTCAGGGCTTTCAGATTGCGCCAGCATGGGCACGGAGCTGCTTGGTGCGAGCGGGGGCGTCTCGCCCGCCCATCGGCAGCCGCGGGCAGTACTGCGAGCGCGGTGGTGGCGCAGCGCGGCCTCGTCGCCGCGCAGGGCGCTGCGAGGCTGCGGGCAGCTCTCTCGTGCCCGGCAGCGGGCCGTGGCAGAAGGCCCCGCCGAGAGCTCAAGAGGCCCAGTCGGGCGCGCAGCGGAGTCTCCACCCGGCGCGCGCGGGCCTCCCCGTCCCATGGATTTGGGGGAAAGGGGCCAATGACCCTCTGTGCGATGAAAGCTTCGCAAAGGCAAGATGCGCCTGTGATGGGATATCCCTTGGACGTGGTTCACTTGCCAAAGGGTCCGTAAAGCAGTTGTATGCCTGATGTGATTCAGACGTGGTTCAGATCGAAAGTGATGCTCGCGCCGTGAAGAAACACGACGGGAGGTCTTTGTCAGTTTTCGACCTCCAGGGGCCCTCGTTGGGCCCGAGGAACGTCAACCAACGACTCGGGATGGAAGCGCGGCCCTGGGGAAAAGGTCGGGACTTCCGGCGAGCCCGTGCTGAAGAAAAAGTATGACATCGCGCGTTTGGGATGGGAAGGTCGCCTCCCAGGAGGCACGGGCAGGCGGGCCCGGGCGGGCAGGGACAACCAGGAATCGGGCTCCGCCCTCACAGCTTACTTAGGAATCGGGATCTCGCTGCCCTTCGTGGCCCCGTTGCAGCCCTTCGTGGCCCCCTCGCTGCCTTTCGTGGCCCCGTTGCAGCCCTTCGTGGCCTCCTCGCTGCCCGTCGTGGCCCTGTTGCAGCCCTTCGTGGCCCCTTCGCTGCCCTTCGTGGCCCTGTTGTAGCCCTTCGTGGCCCCCTCGCTGCCCTTCGTGGCCCCGTTGCAATCTTTCGTGGCCCCCGTCGCTGCCCTTCGTGGCCCCGTTGAAGCCCTTTGCGAGGCCCCCTCGCTGCCCTTCGTGGCCCCATTGCAGCCCTTCGTGGCCCCTTCGCTGCCCTTCGTGGCCCCGTTGCAACCTTTCGTGGCCCCGTCGCTGCCCTTCGTGGCCCCGTTGTAGCCCTTCGAGGCCTCCTCGCTGCCCTTTGTGGCCCCGTTGCAGTCCTTCGTGGCCCCCTGGCTGCCCATCGTGGCCCCGTTGCAGCCCTTCGTGGCCACTCGCTGCTCGTCGTGGCCCCGTTGCAGCATTCCGTGGGCTCTCGCTGCCCTTCGTGGCCCCATATATGGATACCCTTCGTGGCCCCCGCTCGTTCGCACCCTTCGTGGCCCCATATGCATGCCCTTCGTGGCCCCGCTGTCGCCCTTCGTGGCCCTCTCGTTGTCCTACGTGGCCCCGTTGCTACCCTCAGTGGGCCCGTCGTTGCCCTCTGTGGTCCCGTATTATCTGTCCTTCGTTGCCCCCGCTCGTTCGCGCCTGGTCCTATACGCATGCCCTTCGTGGCCCCGCTGTCGCCCTCCGTGGCCCCCTTGCTGCCCTTCGTGGCCCCATCACTGCCCTTCGTGTCCCCGCTGTCGCTCTCGTTCTCGCTCGCGCTTTCGTTCGTCGTCGTCGTCGTCGTCGTCGTCGTTGTCGTCGTTGTCGTCGTCGTCGTCGTCGTCGTCGTCGTCGTCGTCGTCGTCGTCGTGGTCGGTCCCCTGTCCGTCTCTCTTGGCGTCGGCTTGCCGCCTGTCAGCGTTGCCGCTGGCCAGGGCGACGGTCCGCGGCCGCCCCGCCGCTTGCCTGGGCCCAGCCTGCAGGGAAGAAAGATACACCCCCCAAAGGGTGTACGATCGAAGACGAAGAGGGCGGGTATAGAGGGTTTGGGACGTACGCGTTGAACTACACTAAGAGCGAACAGTCTTAACATGATTGTTGTTGCTGTTGTTGTTGAACATTATTTATTCTAAAGAATGATTATTGTTGGGCCCCCTGGTGCGCGCCCCCCCTGCGCCGCCTAGGCCGCAGCTACATTTTCATCATTTTCGTGAGGAAGCCTCAGAAAAGAGGGTGTGTACAGGATCCGGTTGTTTTGTTGTAATCCGCTTTCCCTTGCAAAAAACAATAGAAAATGACATTTCTTGTTCTAATATAATCAAATTTCAAGAATCCCTTGCAAAAAATAAGGTAAAGTGGACATTCGCGCGCGCAAGACGAAATCCTTCCAAAACCTTAGTGTTCGCAGCGATTTTAACATAAAAACATCAAAAAAAACAATGGTTTTTCAACAAAAAAATGTCAAAATCTCATCCCGCGCGCTCTTGCGGATTCGTAGGAAACCCAACACTTTTTAAACATTTCTGTCAAACGGGCTTTTGCGAGCAACTTTTTCGAACTTCTGCGACAACGGTTGCGCACCTGCCAGGGCCATCATCCCTGTCAAATAATACCATGCGGGACACATTCGTTTTTTCTTCGCGCGCGCACGCCGTCGTCGTCGGCCGCGGGGCCCTGAATAGTAGCCACGGTCGTCCGCATGCCACGAAGTGAAGTGTCCGAACGTCATAGGGCGGGAAGCTGGGTGTGGGTGGTGGCGAAGAGTCGTTTGGAAATTTGGTAGAGCTTGAACCGGCCCCCACCACAAAGTGGGGGTATTGCCCGCCTCCTATGAAAACCCTGGCACTGGTGAGAACGGAGTGTCCCCACGTGCTAGTAATTGTTGTTGTTGTTGTTGTTGTTGTTGTTGTTGTTGTTGTTGTGTGTTGTTGTTGTTGTTGTTGTTGAACATTATTTATTCTAAAGAATAATTATTGTTGGGCCCCCTGGTGCGCGCCCCCCCTGCGCCGCCTAGGCCGCAGCTACATTTTCATCATTTTCGTGAGGAAGCCTCAGAAAAGAGGGTGTGTACAGGATCCGGTTGTTTTGTTGTAATCTGCTTTCCCTTGCAAAAAACAATAGAAAATGACATTTCTTGTTCTAATATAATCAAATTTCAAGAATCCCTTGCAAAAAATAAGGTAAAGTGGACATTCGCGCGCGCAAGACGAAATCCTTCCAAAAGCTTAGTGTTCGCAGCGATTTTAACATAAAAACATCAAAAAACCAATGGTTTTTCAACAAAAAAATGTCAAAATCTCATCCCGCGCGCTCTTGCGGATTCGTAGGAAACCCAACACTTTTTAAACATTTCTGTCAAACGGGCTTTTGCGAGCAACTTTTTCGAACTTCTGCGACAACGGTTGCGCACCTGCCAGGGCCATCATCCCTGTCAAATAATACCATGCGGGACACATTCGTTTTTTCTTCGCGCGCGCACGCCGTCGTCGTCGGCCGCGGGGCCCTGAATAGTAGCCACGGTCGTCCGCATGCCACGAAGTGAAGTGTCCGAACGTCATAGGGCGGGAAGCTGGGTGTGGGTGGTGGCGAAGAGTCGTTTGGAAATTTGGTAGAGCTTGAACCGGCCCCCCCACAAAGTGGGGGTATTGCCCGCCTCCTATGAAAACCCTGGCACTGGTGAGAACGGAGTGTCCCCACGTGCTAGTAATTGTTGTTGTTGTTGTTGTTGTTGTTGTTGTTGTTGTTGTTGTTGTTGTTGTTGTTGTTGTTGTTGTTGTTGTTGTTGAACTCTCACTGTTGAAGAATATTATTGTTGATCCCCCTCTGGTGACCATTGTGGTTATTCGATTGAAGTTTCCCCTGGGGCTAGCACCCTGTTTTTTTTTATCAGGGGAAGTCACTAAGTTCAAGCTGCGTTGTTGGCCCCCAGATTACAGCAACAACAACGGCTCCCGCCTGAGACCTCCTCACCATGTAGCCAGGACCCCGCTCCCGCCTGAGACCTCCTCGCATTTTATTCAGGAATCGCGCTCTCGCTTGGGACTTCCTTACAATTTATGCAGGAACTGCTCTCTCGGCGCTCTGGAGTCGCGCTCTCGATGGAGACTTGCCGGCAATTTTCGCAAGAATCGCGCGCTTGCGTTTGAATTTCCCGGAATTTACACGAGCGCCGCGCTCCCGACACTCAGGCACCCAGGAGTCGCGCTCACGCTTGGGACTTCCTCACAGCTTATTTAGGAATCGGGATCTCGCTGCCCTTCGTGGCCCCGTTGCAGTCCTTCTTGGCCCCCTCGCTGCCCTTCGTGGCCCCGTTGCAGCCCTTCGTGGCCACTCGCTGCCCGTCGTGGCCCGGTTGCAGCCCTTCGTGGCCCCCTCGTTGCCCTTCGGGGACCCGTTGCAGCCCTTTGTGGCCGCCTCGCTGCCCTTCGTGGCCCCGTTGGAGCCCTTGGTGGCTCCCTCGCTGCCCTTCGTGGCCCCGTTGCAGCCCCTCGTGGCCCCCTCGCTGCCTTTCGTGGCCCCGTTGCAACCTTTCGTGGCCCCGTCGCTGCCCTTCGTGGTCCGTTTGCAGCCCTTCGTGGCCCCCTCGCTGCCCTTCGTGGCCCCATCTATGTATGCCATTCGTGGCCCCCGCTCGTTCGCGCCCGTCGTGGCCCCCCATATGCATGCGCTTGGTGGCTCCGCTGTCGCCCTTCGTGGCCGCCTCGCTGCCATTCGTGGCCCCGTTGCTGCGCCCAGTGGCCCTGTCCTTGCCCTCTGCGGCTCAATCTACGTATGCCCTTCATGGCTCCCGGTCGCTCGCGCCCGTCGTGGCCCCATATGCATGCCCTTCGTGGCCCTGCTGTCGCACTCTGGCCCCCTCGTTGTCCTACGTGGCCCCGTTGCTACCTTCAGTGGCCCCGTCGTTGCCCTCTGTGGCCCCGTATTATCTGTTCTTAGTGGCCGCCGCTCGTTCGGGCTTTTCGTGGCCTTGTACGCATTCCCTTCGTGTCCCCGCTGTCGCCCTCCGTGGCCCCATTCCTGCCCGTCGTGGCCCCTCTGTCGCTCTCGCTCGCGCTTTCGTTCGTCGTCGTCGTCGTTGTCGTGGTGGTCGGCCCCTGTCCGTCCCTCTTGGGGTCGGCTTGCCGCTGGTCAGCGTTGCCGCTGGCCAGGCCGCCGATCCGCGGCCGCCCCGCCGCTTGCCGGGGCCCGGCCCGCAGGGAAGAAAGATACACCCCCCAAAAGGGGGTACGATCGAAGACGAAGAGGGCGGGTATCGAGGGTTTGGGAAATACACGTTGAATGGCACTCGAGCAGATAAGAGTGAACAGTCTTAAACTTGTTGTTGTTGCTGTTGTTGAACTCTGACTATTGATCTCCCCCTCCAGTGACCCTTTGTGTTTTTTCAATTGACGTGCATCCCCCGGGGCTCGCACCCTGTTTTTCATCAGGGGAAGTCACTAGACTCAAACTAGGCCCCTGGCCCCCAGTTTACAACAACAACAGCAACAACGGCTCCCGCTTGATACTTCCTCACAATGTATTCCCACCTCGCGCTCTCGCGCGGGACTTCCTTTCAATTCATGTACGCATCGCGCTCTCGCGTGGGATTTCCTCGCGATCTATTCGGACGATGCGCCGTCGGCGCTCAGGAAACACGCTCTCGCTTTGGCTCTTCTCGCGATTTACTTGGGAATGGCGCTACCGCTCGAGACTTCCTCGCGATTCATGCAGGACCCACGCTTCAGCAACCCACCTGCTCAGCTCGACCTCGTCGCCTGGGCCCGCCTTCCCGACATGGCCGCTATGGGTCTGCCCACCCGATCTGCCCGTCTGGTTCTACCACTTGTTTTCTGCTCCTTGCCCCCTCCTGCTAATTTCTCTCGTGCTCCATTCTTTTCCCTCCCCCTTCCACCCGTCCTCTTCCCTTGTTTTAGGGGCTGCACTGAATGCACGTGGCAGGTAAGGAAACTATTCTTCCAAAGGGGTGCGATCCAAGACGACGGGGGCGGGTACCGAGGGCTTGGGATTTACGTATTGATTGGCACGTGAACAGATGGGAGCGAACAGTCTTAACATGATTGTTGCTGTTGTTGTTGTTGTTGTTGTTGTTGTTGTTGTCGTCGAGGGTCTCGCGGTCTCGGGAACCTTTTCGGGCTGTCTTGGAGGTGAGCTGGGAACCTCTGAGGGCATCTTGGGGACATTCTGGGCTGTCTGGGGGCGATTAGAGGCTTCCTGGAATCGCTAGGACGTGTAATAATGGAAACGATCAGGCTTGATTGCAACGCACATATGGAAAACATCACGTGTTTCGACGACAATTGGTGTCTGGGCTCCCTCTTGGGATCTTTTTGAGCTTTCTTGTTGTCCCGTAGGGCTTCTGGAATTCTTCTGAAAGTCTCTTGAGCGTGTTGGAGCCCGTCTTAATTGAGCCATTTTAGAGGGCAATCTTGGAGGCGTTGGAGGGTTGACATGGAGGCTCTGACGGCCAAACTGGATTTGACCAGGGGGAGGGGGGCCGCCAATCATTTCACACACCTTCTCATTCCCAGCAAGAGAGGTTCGGCGAATACTCTGTCTGTCTGTCGGTCTGTCTGTCAGTCTGTCTATCTGTCTGTCTGTCTGTCTGTTTGTCTGTGTGTTTGTCTGTCTGTCTATCTGTCTGTCTGTCTGTCTGTCTTTGTCTGCCTGTCTGTCTTTGTCTGCCCTGTCTCTGTCTGTTTGTCTGTCTGTCTGCCTGCCTGCCTGCCTGCCTGCCTGTCTGTCCGTCCGTCCGTCCGTCCGTCCGTCGGTGTGCCTGCCTGCCTGTCTGTCTGATTCTATCTCTCTATCACTTCTTGGAAGTGTTCAAGTGTTCTTCTTCAGTTGCCCCTTATCTTCTTTCCTTCATCCCCCCTTCTTGTTTGCGTGGTCCTCGTTTCTTTTCTTTCGGTGTGCGTCGATCGTACGATTTCAGGGGTCACGCATATGTCTGTTTTGGAGTCCATGTGTAGCGCTCACAGATATTCCGTTGCGCAGCACTCCGTCCAGTCTACCTGCTGAGCTCTGCCTCTGGCTGATTCTTGGTTATCTTGGTGCACGGCCTTGCGCGTCATAGGTCGAGATGGATTTGTTCAAGAGCAAGTACAAAAAGGCACCGCCCACTTTTTGGTGTGGATGGAGCAGGAAACGAGTAGTCGCAGACACAGTGGAAACGTGACCAACTATCGCAAACTGCGGGTTCACGTTCGCACTGCGGCTTGGGGGCACGTGGGTAAGAGTCAGAGAGAGAAGGGGGATACACACATACACATACACACATGTATATATGTTTATGCATATGTATAGGTACACGTATATGTATATGTGTATGTGTGTATGTATATGTATAGGTTTATGTCTATGTATATATATGTATATATATATGTGCATGCACTTGCATATGTATATGTAGATGTTTATGCGTCTATATATGTATATGCATATGCATATTCATATGCACATGCATATGTATATGTATAGGCATATGTATATGCGTATATGCATACAAATATATGGATATATATGTATTTGTCTATACATATGCATATGTATATGTTTATGCACATATATATACTTATATAGTTATTCGCAACTGTATTTGTATATATATGTATGCATATGTATATATATATAGATATGCAGATTTATAGATATACGTTTTTGTGTTGGTATATGTATGTGTATGTATATGTATATGTATATGTATAAGTATATGTGTTTGTATAGGCAAATGTATATGTATATGTATACATATATGCGTGTGTCCATATATGTATATGTAGGTGTATATGTACGTGTAAATGTAAATGTATGTACGTATGTATATATATCATGTTTGTGTATATATTTATGTAACTGCACATGCATATGTATATGTATATGTATATGCATAAATATATGTATATATTTATGTATATATACATGTATAATTAGTTGCATATGTATACGTGTACGTATATGTATTTGTATATGTGTATGTGTTTTCATATGCATATGTATATGTATATGTATTTGTAGATGTATATGTTTATGTATATATTTATGTATATGTATATGTATATGTATATGCATATGTATATGTATATGTATATGTATATGTATATGTATATGCATATGCACATGCATATGTATAGGTATATGTATTTGTATATGTATTTGTACATGCACATGCATGTATGTATGAATGCATGCACATATGTTTGTCTGTCTGTGTCTGTCTGTCTGTCTGTCTGTCTGTATGTATGTATGTATGTATGTATGTATGTACGTATGTTTATATGTACACACACCTATTCCTATATTTTTTCTCGGACCCCCCCCTAAACCAGACCCCCCTCCCCAGGGACGCCCCGGACGCCCTGTCGGACGCCTCGGCGGCCCCCTGGACGCCCTTGGAAAACGTCCGCTGGCCCTTCCGGGCCTTCCAGGGCGGCTTGCCGGGCCTTGCGAGCAGACTCAAGGCGATCAGAGGGGTCATCGGAGAGGCGCAACAGAGTCCCCAAACACCACAAGAGCGCTCCAAGAGGAACCTCGGTGGTCTGAAGACGGGCCAAGAGGCCCCCAAGACGCCCCAAGAGGCCGTTAAGAGAGCCCCGAAGTAGCCAACATTGCCCCATTCCCTTAGGAAAATGTGCATTCTTAGCATATCCGCTTTTTGGGTCCTCGCAGCGTCCAAGATGGCCCGGCGGGCCCCCGATATCGCCCCAAGACGGCCCAAGCGGCCCCCCAGAGTTTGAAGACGGCACAAAAGTGCCCCAAGACTGCCCAAGAGAGCCCAGAGACTGCCCACAAGACCCAAGATGCCCCCAGAAGGCCCCCAAAAGAGACCCACGAAAGCCATGGGAGACCCCCAAGAAGGCCTTTGGAGGCACCCAAGAGGGCCCTAGATGGCTTCAGAAAACCTCTGGAGGGCCCCAGCTCCCCAAGACGGTCCAAGAAGGCCCCAGGACGGCCCAAGAGGGCCCCAGGACGGCCGAAAAGAGCACCGAAATTGCCCAGACGGCGTTCTCCTTCGAAGTACATCGAGCTGACCCGACGATTTTGGTTCCACGCTTGAGATCGAGAGAGACAGGCAATGGATCTCGACTCGAAGTTCGACGATCGAAGATTTCCTGAGCGACTGGAGCCCTCCAGGCATACAGGAAGCGACCAAGCATCGATTTGTTCGGAGCTACTGCGACTTCTTCGGCGTGTCATGGGAACGCTCCTTACTTCCTCAGACGACCTTCGCGCATGAAAAATCAGCATTCCTTCCTCACTCCTGCGCACAAGTGTGCAAGCGCATCGGGCGAATGCGGTGTCAGTAGGCACCAGGGGGGTCAGAAAAGTGAGCCAGTCGCCCGTCCAGGCCTCGAGGCCCCCCCCTGCTGAAGCAAGCGATGATGCATTGCTTTGCTGGGGAGGGCCCGGAACAAGACTGCATCGGCGCGAAGCGCCAATGCAGTCTTGTATGTATGTATGTATGTATGTATGTATGTATGTATGTATGTATGTATGTATGTATGTATGTATGTATGTATGTATATTTATATATAGAGAAAGAGAGAGAGAGAGAGAGAGAGAGAGAGAGAGAGAAAGAGAGAGAGAGAGAGAGAAGGAGTGAAAGAGAGAGAGAGAGGGAGAGAAGAGAGAGAGAGAGAGAGAGACACACACACAAACCAGTCGTACCATGTCCTGTGCTCTGCCTCATCTCAACAACAGGTTCGCTTGTCGCAGGTTTTAGCCATCACGTTGTGCCAAACATGTCGCTTCGTCCAGTTTGTAGACATGCATCACTGATTCGACGCGCGATGTCGGCGCGCCGGGTCATTATGCAGCACGCTACAAGAAGTGTCGCTATGAAGCTTGGCTCACGGCGACCGCAGAGCGATCCTGGACACGGGCGCCGAAGAGTGAACCCGCTGGGGCCACGGCGCGCCTCGCTCTGGCCATCCTGCTGCTGCTTTCCGCGGGATCGCGCTGGAGGACGAGAGCTGCGTCGCCGACGGCGCGTGCCAGGCCGACGAGGCCGAGACCTTCGCTCTGCTGCAGGCCAAGGTGACCGAGGGCAGCGATGTGAACGTCACCACCGCGGCCGCTGTTGCCGCGGATCTCGCGTCGAGCGCTGCCGGCTACAAGGTCGAGGACGTGTCCACTTTGACGTGCAAGACCAATGGCCAGACGTGCGGCTGGGCGGGGGTGACTGGTAAGCTGGGGCCAGCGGTCAGGCTTGTGCGAGCCTCGCCATTAAAACCGCGTCCGTTTCAGACGCTTATTTGTTTTGCATGCAGGCCCTCACAGTGCCACTTGATTGTAGGCGCGTGTGGTATTTTCGTTTGAACTGTTTCATATCATTGTCTCGTGCAAAAGACAGTGATACGCTGTTTGTGTATTCGGTGGGAGCGTCGGTTGAGGAATCGTCTGTGAGGGTGTGGCCCTGAAACAGTCCTTGCCGTGAAGGTTTTCGGTTTTCGGTCGTTGGTTCTACGGCCCAGATCGATTTCAGAACCTGGAAAGCTGCGCTGACAGTGAATCGGCGGCGAGCCCAGAGGGGGAAGTGAGAGGTGGCAGACCTTCGCAGAAGGTCCCCGCGCCTTCCGAGGAGCCTTGCAGTCGCAAGCTTTCGCCGAAACCGCAGACGGCTTCTCAGGAGGCCGGCGGGCTTTTGAGAAGGCCCGCTGCTTTCTGAGAAGGCCTGCCCCCTGTCCCCTGCGCCCTGGGGCCCGCCGCCGGACCACGTGAACCTGGTCCTGGAGCGCGTGATGACCAGAAGTTCGAGTCGAATCCAGCCGTGGCGACCGGCCCCTGCCTGGGAGGTGCCCCCCAAGAAGGCAGCGAACGCGTTATTTTCTTCGTCTCCTCCTCCCCCTCCTCCGCAGACCTCTGCCGCCGTGTCCTTTCGATGCGGCCCCACGGGCTTCTCCACCACATCTAGGGGACAGGTATCGACATTGGACTGTCTTCGACGGTTTCGGGGGCCGAAGCGGGTCTGGAGGCCGAAGCGGAGGAGATGCGACGGGATGGTAAAAATCACGACGTCGGAGGTCTGGACCGCTCCTCCTCCTCCTCCTCCTCCTTCTCCTTCTCCTTCTCCTTCTCCTTCTCCTTCTCCTTCTCCTTCTCCTTCTCCTTCTCCTTCTCCTTCTCCTTCTCGTCCTCCTCCTCCTCCTCCTCCTCCTCGTCTTCCTCCTCCTCCTCCTCCTCCTCCTCCTCCTCCTCCTCCTCCTCCTCCCCTCCCGTCCCGTCCCCTCCTTGTTCCCTCCCCTCCCCTCTCCGCCCCTTCCCCCCTCCCTCCTACCCCCTCCTCCTTCCATCCCTCCACTCCTCCTCCTCCTCCTCTCCTCTCCTCCTCCTCCTCCTCTCTCCTCCTCCCCTCCTCCCTCTTCCTCCTCCTCCTCCTCCTCCTCCGTCCCGTCCCGTCCGTCCCCTCCCTCCCCTCCACCCCCCTCCCCTCCACAATTTCGCAATGTGAACACTATTCTCCTCTCTCCTCTGATGACGTCTGGAAAATGTCCGGCCCCCCTCCGCGTATGTTTTTTTCACAGGATTCCCGGGAATCGGGTTGTGCTTGGGTTTGTTTGTTCAAAATATTTCTCCCGCCGAGGCGCTGGTCTCATTATCGGGCTTCCGATCGTTCCGAATCTCCCGCTGCAGCGCTGGCCTCTTTTCCGCGCCTCCGCTCGTTCCGAATCGTGCTCCCGCAGCGTTGGCGTCATTATTCCCAGTGCCGTGCTACGGCATGCAATGCAATGCTATGTGGTGTTCCGCTGTGCAGTGCTAGGATACGCAGTGCTTGACTACGCAGTGCCACGCCATCCTATGCCATGCTACGGTTTGATCTTCAGCGCCATGCTATGCCATGTTCGGTTCTGTGCCGCTGTGCGGTGCCAATTTGCGTTGCAATGCTTTGTGATGCAATTCTTCACTACGCTACGCCACGCCACGCCATGTTATGACATACTACGCTCTGCCGTGCTCTTCTACGCCCTGCTATGCCGTACTGTAGGATTCATCGCGCACCCTCTCGGGATCATTGCCCTGCCCGACATCCGACTGTGCGAATAGAGAGGGATCTACGCCATGGTAAGGAATGGGAGGGAGGTGTAGGACGTCAGATATGACGCGAGCGCGCCTAGCTTGCCTCCCCTCCCCTCCCCTCCCCTCCCCTCCCCTCCTCCCCTGCTTCCCCCGTGCGCTCTCAATCTCCGACGCCCCCGCGCGCCCAGCTGCACGAGTTCGTGCTCCAGACCTACGACAACGAGCGCAAGTTCCGCACGCGCGCCAGGGACCTGAACAACAAGCTGACCGCGGAGAAGATCCGGCTCGAGAAGACCACCAAGGAGGGGAGGAGGTAGGGGAGATGGATGAGGGAGGACGACCGAGATCTTTGCACGCCCTTGGTCCTTTCTTGGGCGTCCTCGAGGCTTCCAGGGGATTCCAGCGGCCTCCAGATAACCCTGGAGGAGGAGGGGAAGGAGCAGACGTCGAGGAGGACGAGGACGAGGAGGAGGAGGAGAAGGAGGAGGAGGAGGAGGAGGAGGAGGAGGAGGACGAGGAGGAGGAGGAGGAGGAGGAGGAGGGAGGAGGAGGAAGAGGACGAGGAGGAGGATGATGATGAGGAGGAGGAGGAGGAGACGAGGAGGAGGAGGAGGGAGGGAGGGAGGGAGGGAAGGAGGAGAGGGAGGGGGGAAGGGGCGGAGAGGGGGAGGGGGGGGAGGGGGGGAAGGGATGGATGAAGGGAGGAGGGGGGGGCGGGGAGGGAGGGAGGGAGGGAGGGGAGGGAGGGGGAGGGAGGGATGGGGGGGAGGGAGGGGAGGGAGGGAGGGAGGGGGGGGGGGAGGGAGGGAGGGAGGGAGGGAGGGAGGGAAGGAGGGAAGGAGGGATGGAGGGAGGGGGTGAGGGAGGGAGGGGAGGGGAGGGGAGGGGAGGCAAGCTAGGTTCGCTCGCGTCATATCTGACGCCCTACCCATCCTTTACCTTACCTGCCCATCTCTTACCATTTTTCTCTATTCGCACAGTTGGATGTCGTAGCATGGTATAGCATGGCATTGAAAATCAACTCGTGGCATGACATAGCATGGCGTGGCGACGCCCCAAAGTGGGGGGGCTTCTGCGACCCCAAATATCAAATAACCGACACCGAATATGTTATCATTTATGATGTTTATTTCGGGCGGCCATTTTCTAGATTTTGGGGCCCATTTGGAAGGACCGAAAAGCATGCCGTGACATGGCAATGGAAAAAATGACGCCAGCGCTGCAGCGGGAGCACGATTCGGAACGAGCGGAAACACGGAAATCAAGCCAGCGCTGCAGCGGGAGCATTTTTCGGAATGAGCGGAAGCGCGGAAATGAAGCCAGCGCTGCAGCGGGAGCACGATTCGGAACGAGCGGAAGCCCGAAAATGATGCCAGCGCCTCAGCGAGAGCAGCATTTGGGAAAAAAACAAAAGCGAAAACCTAATTCGCCGACATCCTGTGTGGAAGAAACAAGACGCGAGGGGGGACCGAACACTCCGAGACAGATTCCGCAACAAACTCAGGGGAGAGAGGAGAGTAGTATTCATATTGGGTAATTGGAGGGGAGGGAGGGAGGGATGTAGGGAGGGAGGGAGGGAGGGAGAGGGGGAGGGATGGAGGGAGGGGGGGAGGGGCAAGCTAGGTGCGCTCGCGTCATATCTGACGTCCTACCCCTCCCTCCCATCCCTTACCATGGCGCTGATTTTCTCTATCCGCGGACGCGTGTCGTAGCGGACCTGTGGCTCCGCGCGCGCGTGCGTAGTGGGTGGTGGTGCACGTGCGTGCGTGCGTGCGTGTGTGCGTGGTGTCGTGGTGGTGGTGGTGGTGGTGGTGGTGGTGGTGGTGGTGGTGGTGGTGGTGGTGGTGGTGGTGGTGATGGTGGTGGTGGTGCTGGTGGTGGTGGTGGTGCTGGTGGTGGTGGTGTTGGTACTGGTGCTGGTGCTGGTGGTGGTTGTGGTGGTGGTGGTGGTGGTGGTGGTGGTGGTGGCGGTGCGGCGCGGTGGTGGCGGGCGGATGGGCGCGCGAGAAAAAGGCCCGCGCTGGGGCGAGAACGCCATCCTGAACGACGGAGGCCAAACACCGATCCGAAAATGAGGCCCACGCTGCAGCGGGAGCACGATTCGGAACGATTCGGGAGCAGAAATGAGGCCGGCGCCTCAACGAGAGCAGCATTTTGGGAAAAAACGACGCCGGCGCCTCAGCGAGAGTCGTTTCCCGGGATTTCCCGGGAATCCTGTGTGTAAAAAAACAGTACGCGGAGGGTGCGTGGCCATCACCCGGACGCCATCAGGGGAAGAGGGAGAGTATTTTCATATACAAGCTAGGTGCGCTCGCGTCATATCTGACGTCCTACCCCTCCCTCCCATCCCTTACCATGGCGCTGATTTTCTCTATCCGCGGACGCGTGTCGTAGCGGACCTGTGGCTCCGCGCGCGCGTGCGTAGTGGGTGGTGGTGCACGTGCGTGCGTGCGTGCGTGTGTGTGTGTGTGGTTGTGGTGGTGGTGGTGGTGGTGGTGGTGGTTGGTGGTGGTGGTGGTGGTGGTGATGGTGGTGGTGGTGGTGCTGGTGGTGGTGGTGGTGGTGCTGGTGGTGGTGTGTTGGTACTGGTGCTGGTGCTGGTGGTGGTGGTGGTGGTGGTGGTGGTGGTGGTGGTGGTGGCGGTGCGGCGCGGTGGTGGCGGGCGGATGGGCGCGCGAGAAAAGGCCCGCGCTGGGGCGAGAACGCCATCCTGAACGACGGAGGCCAAACACCGATCCGAAAATGAGGCCCACGCTGCAGCGGGAGCACGATTCGGAACGATTCGGGAGCAGAAATGAGGCCGGCGCCTCAACGAGAGCAGCATTTTGGGAAAAAATGACGCCGGCGCCTCAGCGAGAGTCGTTTCCCGGGATTTCCCGGGAATCCGGTGTGTAAAAAAACAGTACGCGGAGGGTGCGCGGCCATCACCCGGACGCCATCAGGGGAAGAGGGAGAGTATTTTCATATTGAGTAATTGTAGAAAGGGTGGGAGGGAGGGAGGGAGGGAGGGAGCGAGGGGGGAGGGGAGGGGGGGGGGGGAGGGAGGGAGGGGGAGGGACGGTGGGGGGGAGGGGGGGAGGGAGGGAGGGAGGGAGGGATGGAGGGAGGAAAATGCGGGATGGTGGCAATCGGCGCCTTAGGGTATTGAGGTTTGAATTGTGGAGGTACGTTGGCACCCCTCCCTACGGCCGTCGTCGTTGGCCGAGGGGCCGTAGGGAGGGCCTCGGCCCCCTCCAGTGGCAACTCACGCCGTAATGTATTGGTGCATTAGTGGGAGAGGGCGACCCAATCGGACCCGATGATGGCAGCCGCAAGGGGTGTGGGGCCTATGATGGTCTTCGCTGGTGATGCCTATGATGGTCCTCACCAGGGTGGGGTGGGGAAGAGGGCAGGAAGGTCGAAGCGGATGTCCGACAGCGACGTCTTGTGGACGTCCGACAGGAACGTTTTGGCAGGGAAAGCTGAGGGAGGAAGGTAAAGAAGCAAATTTGCTCGAGGGGGCAGGTGGTCCTGAGGTGAGAATGCCTGAAAGGGAGGGGGAAACACACAACCTGCATATACAGTTTCGACACCAAAACTAAGTAGGTCCTGCGCACTCGGCATCCCCCGGGGGCGATAACGAGTGCGCATGTAACGCTCAGGTACCCGTTTGCTGCTCGCCCAGCCCCAGGGACAGCTGCGCCCCGCCGAGAGCAAAACCGAAGAGGGGCAGGCACCCCTCGAATCAAAGTTCCCCGGCCCACAGATCTCGTACATACTAAACGGTGCCTCACTCACCACACAGCACGGCGCGGGTGGAAGCCAGCATGTTCCGGCAGGGCCCTGCTGGAACGTGCTGCGCACACGGCCGAAAAGCCAAGGCCTGTCCAGACTAGACCGTTACGCAATAAAGTCGACGCGGGAAGACGGGGAATAGTTTTCCTGTCACCTGAGCGGTTCTATCGGCTCGGGTAGGGGTAGTAAACACCGGAAAACCGAAGACAGAAATCAGGCGGGGGGGCGCGATTTGTCTTCCCGCCGCCTTTCCGAGGCAGAGGCCTCCGAACCTTTGCTGACTACAGAAGCCGATACGGAACACATCACACATCCCAAGGAACGGTAAGATGCGCAGTTTTTTTCCGATCAGAGGTTTCTCATGTAAAGGGGTATTTGGGCTTTTGCCAAAGCCTGTGGTTCATACTAGCTGCACGCTCAACTCCCTCACGACACGTCGGTAGAGTACCCATGTGGTTGTCCCTGGGGTGCTGTAGCGTCTGTGCGTCGCCCATTTCTTGATTACTGTGATGGGGAAGTGACCAGATGTCGACAGTAGCTGGATGTGCTCCCGGAGCGCGAGGGCTTTGCCGTCCAAGGGGAGCGTGTAGGGGTCGACGCGTGCGACAAGGCCCAGCACGACTGCCCGCTTATCGCTGGGTGGTGCGTAGCTCCTGTAATCCATGTAGGGCGCGTGATTGAATTCGTCGTGGTAGGCGCTGAGGTGGGGGGGCGCGGGGCGTACGGAGATGCAGCCGTTGGCACCGAGGGTGACCCGCATGCCCGTGAAGGTGTCACCCCCATCCTCGTCACACGGTAGCGGGTACCGATTACCCGGCCAGGAGGATACCTGAGCAGCAGTGCGGTCCAGGATCTCCAGGTCGCATCCGGCAAGCGCCTTCCAAAGGCAGAGGTAATCGTCCATGTACCGGGTCTCCAAGGTGAGGCAGTCGATGCCGTAAAGCACGGCGTAACGCACACGTCCGCGAGCAGGTGGCGGGGCCGCGGTCCTGGATGAAGCGACGCGTGAAGTGCGACTTCGTGGAGTATGAGCGCCACCTTGGTGAGGGCGCCTGCGAGCGAGCTCCCCATGGCTAGGCCGTCCGTGGCGCGACCCACCAGGCATCCCACGGCGAGCCACAGGTTGGCCAAGCTGTGCTCGATGGCGGCAGTGAGGTCGGCGATCGAGGAGGTGATGTGGCGCGGGGAAGCGCGTGGGGGCTCGTAGGGGATGCGACCGCCCGTGGCCCTGCGCCGAGGGGCCGTGATAAAGGCAATGCTCCGTTCGTGGAGCACCTTCTTCGGGGGTGGACAGAACCCCCAACAGTGACACGTCGATCAGTGAATTGTCCGTTTTCGGTTCTCGAGAGGGCGCCGTGGTCGCTATTTTCCAGGCTTGCGCCCGCCAGGTTTGGGCTTCAGGTCGTTTTCACTAAACCACGTTTTACTAAAGGGGGTTCTGTCCATCCCCGAGAAGACCCATGCGTCCCATACCAGTTTGTGCGGGATGTTCGAAAAACAATCCACGAGGTCGCTGCCGCATTTCCGC